GCAGGGCAAGGAAAAGGGGCATGATTGGTGATTTGGCATTTCGCCATGCGCGCTCTCCCTGAGTTCCGGTCCTGGTCTTACGTCGACAACCGGAACTTGAAGAGCGCAAGCGTGGCGGCCCGCTCTGCGGCCTTAGGTGTGACGGCCACACTCGATGCCCCTGCGTGAAAACGCCGGCACACGGCAGTTGCGGGAAGACGACGGCGACACGAAACTTTTGGGCATCCGTGCCTGCCCTGGGAACCATCTCGTTTCCCCCCCGATCCCGGGGCCTTGTGACGGTTGGGTGGTCATCGAGGATGCTACGCGCAAGTGGGTGCTTGTCCCCTGCAGCTCTGGAATCCGCGCCTTGACGGGCGCCATAGTTGTGGCTTCGAAATACAAGTGGGCCGTCCCGTTCGTTGAGTGCCCCCCCGTCGCTGGTCCAGCTCACCTTCGGGTGCGTCGCTCGCGCCCGGTGCATTTGGAGGGGCCAGCGTCGGCGGTGGGCCGAGCGCCTGGAGCTCCGCCCCATTTTTGGCACCTCCCTACAGGCCCTCCGCCTGGCAGCTCGCTTCCCCCGGTCGCCCCTCTGGCCTTCGGGCGTGGCTCACCGTGCTGATTCGTTCGGGCTCGTCTCTCACCCGGAGTCGCCTGGGCTGCTGCCGGTCTGGGTCTGCGCCCAGGCCGACCTCGATCCGCGGGCTGCGGCCGCCGCGGCCTCGATCGCGGCCTCCTCCGCCCTCCCGCCTTATTTCGATGCTTCTCCCCCCCGGGGGCAGCGCGTCCTTCGGGTGCGCGCGCGCCCGTTTGCATCAGGGGCGGCCCCGTGGCGCCGCGCCACGACGAGGAGGGGGCGGGGGCCATCGACATCGAGGCCTCGTCGAAGCTCCCGCGGAGCTCTCGGCGCGCAAGCCTTGCTCGGGACGGTCGGAGCCGCCCGCGCCCCTGCGCGCCTGGCCCACGGTCGGGCCCCGTGCCTGTTTTGTGGGCACGCCGCCGCCTCGGCTAGGCACTCGTGGGCTGAGCGCCCCCGCTTCGCGCCCGACCGCGCCGCCCTCAGACGGGAGCATGGACTTGGTGAGGGCTGGTGGGCCGACCAGCTTGGAATCACAGCCAAAACTGGTTGGGTTACTTTCGTCGCCGGCCCCACTACTGAGGCCCGGTCACGGCTGCAGGTCATGCGCTGCAGGCTCGGTCTCCGCATCTTGGGCGCTCTGCCCCGGGGCGCCGCCCCGGCGGCCCGCTGCCGGGCGGCCCGCTGAGGCCAGCCCTGCAGGCGCTCCGCCTTCGAAGCGGCGGCCTCCTCCTCCCATCCCCCCTCCTGATCCGGCTCAGGCGGAGGTGCAGGCTGGGGCCGACTGCGTGGACTGCCATGCTTTCGACGACGCCGTCGACGACGCCGTTGACGACCCCGCCCGCGGTCGGTGGCGTGGTTGCGGTCGGCACGCCGCGCGCGTTCCAGAGCCGCACGCGAGATTTGTCTCCCGTGGCTCCGTCGCCAGGCCGCCGCTCGCGGCGGCGGGTGGGTTCCCTGCCAGCGAGGCCCCGGCGACGGCCTCGCCCTACCTCTTCCCCTCCTTCTCCTCGCCGGATTCGGCATCGAGCTGGATGGGTTGAGTTGGTTTGACTTTTTAGCCGTCCTGGGGCTTCCCAGATCCTTTGTCTGCGGCCGGGCAGGGTCTTCGAGTATGTTTTGCCGTATCCCTTCACACCTTGTACTACTTTCTAGACCTCCAGCCGAGGGCGTCAAGGCATCAAGCAGCCTGTCGCCATCAACCGCTACTAGGTGCTGTTTGGCGGGATCGACCATTCGGACCAGGCCTTCTTGGACGAGGACCAAACGGGAGAGGGTTTTGCCTCACGTGCGTGACGTACGCGACCTCGGACGCGACCGTCAAGACCCACTGCGAGGACGACTTGTGAGATGCCGAGAACGCGGTCGGAACGCAGCTGGGGCAGTGGTGCCGATTTGCTTCTCTGCCTCCCATCTTTTCATATTACAAAAGCCTTGCAGCCAGTTCCGCCGCCGACCCCTTGACGCTCTTGCTACCGATCTGGCACGAACGATCAGATCACCATTTGGCCCTTGGGACTTCCAAGATGACCCGTCAGGCTCCAGGTTGGCCCTGAGGGCTCAAGCCAGCGCGTCCCAAAGATAGCCAAATTGGTCCCAAGATCGGCCGAGTCACTCCAGGGCGGGGGGGGGGCACCCCCTCCCGCATGGGCCCCCCGCCCTGGCGGAAATCCAAGCGCAGGGGCTTCTTCGACTCGGTTGCGACCTGGGTCGATTCACGGCTGCCAAGCTTGGAGAGCCCAGGCGAAGAGCTTCGAATGGAAAAGCGTCTCTCAGGACCACCCCATGGACGACCCCAAGACTCCCCCTCACACGCCGACAGGGTCGACACATTCAGTGTCTGCTTGGGCGAGCCTCGCGCTCAAGGACGCGCGCAGTCCAAGTTTGCGTGGATAGGTGCGGGGTGGCATGGCGGTCCGAGATTTGCCCGATCATAGACATGCATCGCCTTCCGTCTGCTCCCTCCCTTCGGTCTTCCGTCCTCCTGCACTTCCGCGCCCTCCAAATTGCTCGTCGCTGGCGGCTTCAGCGGAAGGCTGATGGGAGGGGGAGGAGGGAAGGGAATAGAGTTCTCTTGCCCTGGTGGAGTGTACCACGACCGGGCGCAGCCCGAAAAAATACTGGTCAGATCGACATGATGGCGCCGAGGAGGTACCCCATGTACCGATTGTGAGCGAGTTCGAGGCAAGCGGGATGTGTACCCGCGCACGCTTGAGGGATGATGGGCGGCGTCGCGCAATCCTTCTGGCTCCAGCCCTCTCGGCCATATCTTCGCCCCAGCTGCTCTCCTGGCGCCCACCAAGGGGACCATGGCCCTCCGCTCCAGCGTGCTCCCGACGGCCGTCGTGGCTGCCGTGTGCCTCCTGGCGCTGCGCGGCCTGCTCGCCCCGGGCCCGAGCCAGGCCTTCGTTGCGCCAGAGGTCGGCCTCACGCAGTCCGTCCACCGCCAGTGCAGGCCCGTGGCGGGCGGCCCAGGCGTCGCCGCGGATGCCCTGCGAGTGGATGGACCACGGCTGGAGGAAACCGAGTGAAGCCTTACAGGACATCCCAAGAGGAGTTAAGGAGCGTCGAGCTGCTGTGCGCGAGATTGCTATCGTGCTCGAGCTGCCCTGCGAGGTGCAGATGGCAGGGCGAGAGGGCCCGGAGCCAGGCCTTCTTGACTTCGGGACCCCTTCACGTCGTGACGTGCGACGTCGGACGCGGAATTTTTTGAGGATGCCTGCGAAACGACTGCCGATGGAGGTCGGGCCGGAGGGGCAGTTTTCAGAAGTTCCGCCAAAATATGAAGAACAAATGTTTTCAATGCATCTGGCCATTTTCACCACCGAGAAGTCCCTGGCAGGTGCCAGTGTGGAAGTCCAAACGGGCAGGGGGCAGTGGCAGCTTTCTTGCGGTTGACGATCTAACGTCTTGGGCCCATCCCGCCATTGCGCCTGGCTGCGTTCCTGGATCCCCTGGGGGAGGGGGATCGTGGGGGGGTTATTTTTCTCCGCGGCTTGTTCGGTCCGGAAGTGCGCCTTCGTTTTCTGAGGATGTTTTTAGCGAATCGCAATTCTTAACAGAAGAGTAGCGAACTTGTTGGGCCGCGTCGTCTCCTTTTTTGTCGCCTCTCCCGAGCCAAACGGGGGTTTCTTGGGCGGTCGTGGGAGGTGTGGGCCGTTTGGAGCTTTTGCGAGCGATGCGGCGACAATGTTTAGATCACGCACGCACGCACGTTAAGGGATTTAACAGGTTTGAGCCTCTTGGCGGGACCTCCAAGGCGGCCCGTTAGATTCCAGGTTGGCCCCGAGGGGGCTCTAGCGGGCGCGGTCCAAGATAACCAAACTGGCATCAAGATCGCCCGAGTCACTCCAAGGAGGGCGGTGTGGGAGGTTGGGAGGTGCACCATTCCCACCCGAGTTCCTCGAGGGGGCTCCTTGGGGCTTCTCGGGGGGCTCCTTGGGAGGCTGCCTCGGAGGCTCCGTGGCCACTTGGAGCCGTCTTGGAGCGGTCTTGGGGCCTCTTGGAGGCATACTAGTGGCCGTGTCGAGCCATCCTGGAGTATCTCGAACACTCGTGTAGGCCATCGGGGGCTCTCTGCGACCAGATTGCGCTCATGTTGGGCCAAAAGCCTCCCAATTGTGCCCCCGAGATGCCAGAAAGTCTTTGACAACCATGTGTATCTCAATGATGTTGGCTTTGAGAGAAGGGGGGTCCTAATTACGGCTGCCCCTCTTGCGCCCAAACATTGAGCGTTCCCCGATAAGCTTTGGGAAGCGAGTTCGGTCCTCTCTTGGGTGGGGCCATCCTTGGGAGGTTTTTTTCCCTTCGACTCAAACCACCTGGGTCGATTCACTTCGAGCTGCCGAGCTTGGAGAACCCCATTTGGCCGGCGAAGAGCTTCGAATGGAAGACCGTCTCCTAGGACCACCCCTGGACGACCACCCCAGGACTCCCCCTCACACACGCCGACAGGATCGCCAGATACAGTATTTGCTTGGGCAAGCCTCGCGCTCAAGGCGCGCGTAGTCCAAGCTTGCGTGGATAGCTGCGGAGTGGCATGGCGGTCCGCGCAGGTCTTTGTCCGATCATAGATACTCATCGCCTCCCCTCTGCTCCCTCCCTCCTGCCGTCCGTCATGCTGCACCTCCTCACCCTCCCAATCGCTCGTCGTTGGTGGCTCGGGCGGAAGGCCGAGAGGAGGGAGAGGGAAGGGGTCGGAAGGAATCAAATGTGGGGCTCTTGCCCTCAGGGGTGGACCACGACCGGACGCAGCCCGAAAGCTTGGTCAGGATGGCGCCGAGGAGGTACCCCATGTACCGATTGTGAGCGAGTTCGAGGCAAGCGGGATGTGTACCCGCGCACGCTTGAGGGATGATGGGCGGCGTCGCGCAATCCTTCTGGCTCCAGCCCTCTCGGCCATATCTTCGCCCCAGCTGCTCTCCTGGCGCCCACCAAGGGGACCATGGCCCTCCGCTCCAGCGTGCTCCCGACGGCCGTCGTGGCTGCCGTGTGCCTCCTGGCGCTGCGCGGCCTGCTCGCCCCGGGCCCGAGCCAGGCCTTCGCTGCGCCAGAGGTCGGCCTCACGCAGTCCGTCCACCGCCAGTGCAGGCCCGTGGCGGGCGGCGACCGCGCCCTCGCCTCCGGCGCAGCCCCGGCCGTCCTGAGCACCGTCCCGGCGCGCCCAGGCGTCGCCGCGCACTTCAAGGTGACGCTGGAGACGCCGGACGGCACCCAGGAGTTCGAGTGCCCCGAGGACGTGTACATCCTGGACCAGGCCGAGGAGGAGGGCCTCGAGCTGCCCTACTCCTGCCGCGCGGGCTCGTGCTCGAGCTGCGCGGGCAAGGTGCTGTCTGGCGAGATCGACCAGTCGGACCAGGCCTTCCTGGACGAGGACCAGACGGGGGAGGGCTTCTGCCTCACGTGCGTGACGTACGCGACCTCGGACGTGACCATCAAGACCCACTGCGAGGACGAGCTGTAAGATGCCGAGGACGCGGTCGGAGCACAGCAGGGGCAGTGGTGCCGATTTGCTTCTCGATTTCCGTCGATTCAGTATTGCAATGGCCTCAATGCCAGTTCCGCCACCGACCCTGGAAAGTGATCAGTTGGTGCGCAGGTGACGGAATGTGGACGGGCGCAGGGGGGCAGTTGGCAGTGGCGGCTTTTCATGCGAGGTTGACGATCTAACGGTCTTGGGCCCATCCCGCCATTGCGCCTGGCTGATGTCCTGGAGGCCTCGGGGACAGGTGGGGGGATCGTGGGGGGGTTATTGGGGAGATCCGCGGGGCCTTTGCGGCCCACGTAAGTGCGGCTTGGGCTTTTTTTTTGGAAGGGATTGCTTCCAGCGGTGCGACAGTAGCGAACTTGTTGGGCCGCTCGTTGACCTTCTTTGTCGCCTCTTGGCCCCATCTTGGGGGCTTCTTGGGCTGGTCGTGGGAGGTCCTGGGCCGTCGTGGACGCTTTTGCGACTGATGCGGCGACAATGTTTAGATCACGCACGCACGCACGTTAAGGGATTTAACAGGTTTGAGCCTCTTGGCGGGACCTCCAAGGCGGCCCGTTAGATTCCAGGTTGGCCCCGAGGGGGCTCTAGCGGGCGCGGTCCAAGATAACCAAACTGGCATCAAGATCGCCCGAGTCACTCCAAGGAGGGCGGTGTGGGAGGTTGGGAGGTGCACCATTCCCACCCGAGTTCCTCGAGGGGGCTCCTTGGGGGCTTCTCGGGGGGCTCCTTGGGAGGCTGCCTCGGAGGCTCCGTGGCCACTTGGAGCCGTCTTGGAGCGGTCTTGGGGCCTCTTGGAGGCATACTAGTGGCCGTGTCGAGCCATCCTGGAGTATCTCGAACACTCGTGTAGGCCATCGGGGGCTCTCTGCGACCAGATTGCGCTCATGTTGGGCCAAAAGCCTCCCAATTGTGCCCCCGAGATGCCAGAAAGTCTTTGACAACCATGTGTATCTCAATGATGTTGGCTTCGACAGAAGGGGGGTCCTAATTACGGCTGCCCCTCTTGCGCCCAAACATTCTTCTACTGGGGGGAGCGTTCATGGGGCGTTCTTGAGCGATATTGGGGCCTTCTTTGACCATCTCGGAGCCACCTTGAGGCCCTAAGACCTAATAGCACATCGGAAGCGAGAAGGCATTCCCCATTGAGTCCCCGTAAGTTTGGGAAGGAGTTCGGCCTCTTGGGTGGGGCCATCCTTGGGAGGCTTTTTTCCCTTCGACTCAAACCACCTGGGTCGATTCACTTCGAGCTGCCGAGCTTGGAGAACCCCACTTGGCCGGCGAAGAGCTTCGAATGGAAGACCGTCTCCTAGGACCACCCCTGGACGACCACCCCAGGACTCCCCCTCACACACGCCGACAGGATCGCCAGATACAGTATTTGCTTGGGCAAGCCTCGCGCTCAAGGACGCGCGTAGTCCAAGCTTGCGTGGATAGCTGCGGAGTGGCATGGCGGTCCGCGCAGGTCTTTGTCCGATCATAGATACTCATCGCCTCCCCTCTGCTCCCTCCCTCCTGCCTGCCGTCCGTCATGCTGCACCTCCTCACCCTCCCAATCGCTCGTCGTTGGTGGCTCGGGCGGAAGGCCGAGAGGAGGGAGAGGGAAGGGGTCGGAAGGAATCAAATGTGGGGCTCTTGCCCTGAGGGGTGGAGGGGTGGACCACGACCGGACGCAGCCCGAAAGCTTGGTCAGGATGGCGCCGAGGAGGTACCCCATGTACCGATTGTGAGCGAGTTCGAGGCAAGCGGGATGTGTACCCGCGCACGCTTGAGGGATGATGGGCGGCGTCGCGCAATCCTTCTGGCTCCAGCCCTCTCGGCCATATCTTCGCCCCAGCTGCTCTCCTGGCGCCCACCAAGGGGACCATGGCCCTCCGCTCCAGCGTGCTCCCGACGGCCGTCGTGGCTGCCGTGTGCCTCCTGGCGCTGCGCGGCCTGCTCGCCCCGGGCCCGAGCCAGGCCTTCTCTGCGCCAGAGGTCGGCCTCACGCAGTCCGTCCACCGCCAGTGCAGGCCCGTGGCGGGCGGCGACCGCGCCCTCGCCTCCGGCGCAGCCCCGGCCGTCCTGAGCACCGTCCCGGCGCGCCCAGGCGTCGCCGCGCACTTCAAGGTGACGCTGGAGACGCCGGACGGCACCCAGGAGTTCGAGTGCCCCGAGGACGTGTACATCCTGGACCAGGCCGAGGAGGAGGGCCTCGAGCTGCCCTACTCCTGCCGCGCGGGCTCGTGCTCGAGCTGCGCGGGCAAGGTGCTGTCTGGCGAGATCGACCAGTCGGACCAGGCCTTCCTGGACGAGGACCAGACGGGGGAGGGCTTCTGCCTCACGTGCGTGACGTACGCGACCTCGGACGTGACCATCAAGACCCACTGCGAGGACGAGCTGTAAGATGCCGAGGACGCGGTCGGAGCACAGCAGGGGCAGTGGTGCCGATTTGCTTCTCGATTTCCGTCGATTCAGTATTGCAATGGCCTCAATGCCAGTTCCGCCACCGACCCTGGAAAGTGATCAGTTGGTGCGCAGGTGACGGAATGTGGACGGGCGCAGGGGGGCAGTTGGCAGTGGCGGCTTTTCATGCGAGGTTGACGATCTAACGGTCTTGGGCCCATCCCGCCATTGCGCCTGGCTGATGTCCTGGAGGCCTCGGGGACAGGTGGGGGGATCGTGGGGGGGTTATTGGGGAGATCCGCGGGGCCTTTGCGGCCCACGTAAGTGCGGCTTGGGCTTTTTTTTTGGAAGGGATTGCTTCCAGCGGTGCGACAGTAGCGAACTTGTTGGGCCGCTCGTTGACCTTCTTTGTCGCCTCTTGGCCCCATCTTGGGGGCTTCTTGGGCTGGTCGTGGGAGGTCCTGGGCCGTCGTGGACGCTTTTGCGACTGATGCGGCGACAATGTTTAGATCACGCACGCACGCACGTTAAGGGATTTAACAGGTTTGAGCCTCTTGGCGGGACCTCCAAGGCGGCCCGTTAGATTCCAGGTTGGCCCCGAGGGGGCTCTAGCGGGCGCGGTCCAAGATAACCAAACTGGCATCAAGATCGCCCGAGTCACTCCAAGGAGGGCGGTGTGGGAGGTTGGGAGGTGCACCATTCCCACCCGAGTTCCTCGAGGGGGCTCCTTGGGGGCTTCTCGGGGGGCTCCTTGGGAGGCTGCCTCGGAGGCTCCGTGGCCACTTGGAGCCGTCTTGGAGCGGTCTTGGGGCCTCTTGGAGGCATACTAGTGGCCGTGTCGAGCCATCCTGGAGTATCTCGAACACTCGTGTAGGCCATCGGGGGCTCTCTGCGACCAGATTGCGCTCATGTTGGGCCAAAAGCCTCCCAATTGTGCCCCCGAGATGCCAGAAAGTCTTTGACAACCATGTGTATCTCAATGATGTTGGCTTTGAGAGAAGGGGGGTCCTAATTACGGCTGCCCCTCTTGCGCCCAAACATTCTTCTATTGGGGGGAGCGTTCATGGGGCGTTCTTGAGCGATATTGGGGCCTTCTTTGGCCATCTCGGAGCCACCTTGAGGCCCTAAGACCTAATAGCACATCGGAAGCGAGAAGGCATTCCCCATTGAGTCCCCGTAAGTTTGGGAAGGAGTTCGGCCTCTTGGGTGGGGCCATCCTTGGGAGGCTTTTTTCCCTTCGACTCAAACCACCTGGGTCGATTCACTTCGAGCTGCCGAGCTTGGAGAACCCCATTTGGCCGGCGAAGAGCTTCGAATGGAAGACCGTCTCCTAGGACCACCCCTGGACGACCACCCCAGGACTCCCCCTCACACACGCCGACAGGATCGCCAGATACAGTATTTGCTTGGGCAAGCCTCGCGCTCAAGGACGCGCGTAGTCCAAGCTTGCGTGGATAGCTGCGGAGTGGCATGGCGGTCCGCGCAGGTCTTTGTCCGATCATAGATACTCATCGCCTCCCCTCTGCTCCCTCCCTCCTGCCTGCCGTCCGTCATGCTGCACCTCCTCACCCTCCCAATCGCTCGTCGTTGGTGGCTCGGGCGGAAGGCCGAGAGGAGGGAGAGGGAAGGGGTCGGAAGGAATCAAATGTGGGGCTCTTGCCCTGAGGGGTGGACGGGGTGGACCACGACCGGACGCAGCCCGAAAGCTTGGTCAGGATGGCGCCGAGGAGGTACCCCATGTACCGATTGTGAGCGAGTTCGAGGCAAGCGGGATGTGTACCCGCGCACGCTTGAGGGATGATGGGCGGCGTCGCGCAATCCTTCTGGCTCCAGCCCTCTCGGCCATATCTTCGGCCCAGCTGCTCTCCTGGCGCCCACCAAGGGGACCATGGCCCTCCGCTCCAGCGTGCTCCCGACGGCCGTCGTGGCTGCCGTGTGCCTCCTGGCGCTGCGCGGCCTGCTCGCCCCGGGCCCGAGCCAGGCCTTCGCTGCGCCAGAGGTCGGCCTCACGCAGTCCGTCCACCGCCAGTGCAGGCCCGTGGCGGGCGGCGACCGCGCCCTCGCCTCCGGCGCAGCCCCGGCCGTCCTGAGCACCGTCCCGGCGCGCCCAGGCGTCGCCGCGCACTTCAAGGTGACGCTGGAGACGCCGGACGGCACCCAGGAGTTCGAGTGCCCCGAGGACGTGTACATCCTGGACCAGGCCGAGGAGGAGGGCCTCGAGCTGCCCTACTCCTGCCGCGCGGGCTCGTGCTCGAGCTGCGCGGGCAAGGTGCTGTCTGGCGAGATCGACCAGTCGGACCAGGCCTTCCTGGACGAGGACCAGACGGGGGAGGGCTTCTGCCTCACGTGCGTGACGTACGCGACCTCGGACGTGACCATCAAGACCCACTGCGAGGACGAGCTGTAAGATGCCGAGGACGCGGTCGGAGCACAGCAGGGGCAGTGGCAGTGGTGCCGTGTTGCTCATCTGCCTCCGGTGATCCCCGTATGCAGCCCGAGCTCGGGCGAGCCTCATTGTTTACAGGATTTTCTAGCACCTGGGATGCGCCCAAGGACGCGCATGGTCCAAGTTTGCGTGGACAGCTGCGGAGTGGCATGGTGGTCCGAGCCGGGTATCGTCGATCATAGAAGCGCATCGCGTCCCTCTGCTCCCTCCGTCCTCTGTGATACGTTCTCCTGCTGCACCTCCTCGCTCTCCTGATCGCTCGTCACCGGCGGCTCTGGCGGAAGACCGAGGGGAGGAAGGGAGATTGCGGAGGAGAAAGGCTAGGCTAGACGCTTCGCGTAACCCCACCAGCCCATCCAGAAACGATGCCCAGAGGAATTGTCTCGATCAGGGAAGTGGGCAGCACACAGAGGAAGGGTCCCCCAGCGGAGGCCTATTGGAGCGTCTTGGGTGCCTCGGAGAGCTGCTTGGGGCATCTTGGGTATCTCTTGGGAGCATCTTGGAGGCCTCTTGAGCGCCTGTTGGGGCCTCCTGGGCGCCTCTTGGGGCCCTCTTGAAGCGCTCTTGGGAGCCTTGGGAGCGCTCTTGGGGCCATCTTGGAGGACATCGATCAAACAAGAAGCGAGCATTAGTTAGCGTTGCCCCTCGGGAGCCCAACACATCGCCTCTTGGGGCGCTCCTTGGGCGCTCTTGGAGCGCTCTTAGGCGCTCTTGGGGCCGTCTTGGGGCTCTCTTGAGCCTCTCTTGGAGCCCTCTTGAGCCATCTTGGAGCCATCTTGAGGCCTCGGATGGCCATCGGAAGCGAAAAGGCGAGAAAGCCAAGCACATCGATTTTCCCAAGGTTTTGTGGCCTCTTCGGGGCCTCCTGGGGGAGCTCCTTGGCCACTTGGAGTCGTCTTGGAGCGGTCTTGGGGCATCTTGGAGCATCGTGGGAGCCATTATGAGACATCTTGGGGCATCTTGAGCCATCTTGGAGGTCATCTCGGGCTCTCCAAGGCGCCCTTGGAGTCATCTTAATCAGTGCCCCCCCCAAAGAGGTCAACATGTGGCTAAAACCCTAGTGAAATCAATGATTGAGCATTCTCGCCGAGGCCTCTTGGAGCATCTTGGGTGCCTCTGGGGGGTCTCTTGGGGCCTATTGGGGGTCTCTTGGGAGCCTCTTTGGGGCATCCTGGGAGCCTCTTGGGGCTTCCTGGCCACCTCTTGGGGCCCTTTTGGGGCACCCTTGGGAGTCGGGGGCCATCTTTGGGCCATCTTGGGTGAGATCGATCACAGGAGCGGGGGGTACAAATTAGGGCCCCCCCCCTCAGGAGGCCAAAATGGAGCCAAAACCTTAGTACAACCAATGATTTTGGCTTCCTCGCCGAGGCCGTTTTCGACGCTCCGACGACTCGCGGAACCCCCTGTCCAGGTCCAGGGGAGGGGGTAGGGGGAGGTGTAAACCCACCCCGAAGGGGAAGGAGGGGTGAAAAAGGAAACTCCCTAAACCACATACGCCCAGAGGGCTGGTGGGATTGAGGTCTCTTGACATCGGGAGGTACCGACAAGCGGACGCAGCTCGAAAACCTTGTCAGGATGGTGCCCGGAGATGCCCAGTGGGACCATCGTGAGCGGATTCTTGGCGAGTTGAGGGTGCCCCCGCACGATCTTGAAGGATGATGGGCGGCGTCGCAGGTTCCAGTTTCATGGGCAAGAGGAAGTACATCCTGCTCCCCCCCTCCCCTCCCTCCCACTCGGCCCCCTCTCCTCCCTCCTTGCGTCCTCCCTCCTCGACCTTTCTTTCCTCCATCCTTCTTCCCTCCTCCCTCCCTCGCCTTGCCCCTCTACCCTCTGCCCTCCCTCCTCCCCCCTCCCCACACGTCCTCCCTCTGTCGCGCCTCGCTCCTCCCCCGTCTGTCTCTACGCCCGCTCCCTCCCGCAGGAGCGCGCGCCTCCCGGGAACCCCGCAGCGAGCAGAGCTTCCCGCCCCCGGCCCTCCTCCCGTCGGGTGCCGCTGCGTGCGGAGCGCAGCAGGCCGACGGGCGCCGCCATGTGCGGAGGGCAGCAGGCCGAATGTGGTCTCGAGGGCAGGGGTCAGCGTGGCCACCACCCCCGTAGAGTCCTCCGCTCAGATCGTGATCGGTGCTAGCTGCCGCTTCTGGGGGTGCCGTGGTTGCTCGTCGACAGGCGCTTTGGATTCTATGAGCCTGTCCCTGTTCTCGTTCCTTCCCCTCCTCACCCTCGTCCTCCCGCCCTCCTCCGTCCTCCCTGCCTCCCTCCTTCTTCGGCCATGGCGGACACCCAAGGCCTCCCTTCCCTCCCTTCCCTCCTCCCCCCTTCCCTCCCAGCAGGTGCAAGGCGCCCATCTCACTTGAGCAACGGAGGAAAACGGGTCCGTCTGTGTCGACATTGGGGGGGAGGCTGCCCGCGTAAGGTCGCGCGTGAGCGCCCTCCTCTCCAGCGCAGCGTGTCGCGCTTGCGTCCGCGTACGCTCCGGCGTAAGGTCGCTGCGTGTGTCATCCCGCGTAAGGCCCATTTGGTGGTTGCTCATTCTCATTCTCATTCCCCCCCCCACCCCACCCCTCCGCCCTTCCTGCGGAGGCGGCGCGGGAGGAGTGGCGAGGCGAGGCGAAGGGCCTCTGGGCGGAGGCCCTGGCGCTGCGCCGCGGGGCAGAGGCCTGCAATCCGCTGCCGCGCGCCATTCGCCGGCCGTCGCCATCTCGGCACGATCGGGGGAGCCTTGACGGGGGTCAATGCAAACGGGGGTCGGCCAGAGCGCCAGATCTTGTAGGATCGAGCCAGGGTTGCATTCACCAGGGTCCGCGCGCAGGATCCTGCAGAATCTTGCAGAATCCTGCAAAGCCCGACTGACCCAGATTTGCATCGTTAGCCCGTGTCGTTAGAATCCGGATCGATCGGAATGGATGCGGAAATAATGAGAACGACGACCGACAGCAGTTCCTTCCCATGTGGAACAGGGCCGCGGACTTCGATCATTTGAGGCAGAAGGCCACCCCGCCCAACAGCGGCGCCGTCGATTTTGGACGGCAGCTCTTCTTGGGCATCGTGCCCATTCTTGCCGTACCCATGTCGGAAGTCCAGATCATCGCCTCAGTCATCGCCGCCGTCGCCGCGGCCGTCGTGGTCGTCGTGGTGGTCGTCGCCGTCGTGGTCGTCGTGGTCGTCGTGGTCGGTCGTCGTCGTGTCGGCCGTCGTCGTCCGCCGCCGTCGGCGGCTTTGTGGTTTTCGTCTTGAGTGGTCCGTCCCCTTCCCACATGTCCATTCGCTCGCTCGGGTGGCGGCCCGCGTATTATCTCTGCGGGCACTGGTCATCAGAGGATCCGCTCGTCACCCAGATGGAAGGCGGCACCTTTTCACAACGATACTGCCGCTTACTAGTTCATTTGGTCTCACCAAGCTGCCTGGGTAGGGGTCGGTACATTTCAGCTTCTGCTCGTTTCAGTGATCCTCATGTTCTACGGTAGAAGAACGCAGAAGAAGGGTGGCATGTTATCAAGCAGTTGTTCTGAAGCGATTATGAAGTGGTTTTCCGAGCAGCTGCAGGGGTGGGGGGCTGCGCGGTCGCATCATCGATTTTTGGCCTCGAGGGCTCCTTACAAACTACAACAGTGACCGTACAGCCCTGGTAAAGTCTAGGAACTGCGTGGATGGAGGGCGGCTGCGGCTCGTTTGCAAATGCTCGGCCGATCCACTCTCAGTTCCATGGCACGTAGGATGCATCGTTTCGCGGCCGACCACCAGCACGACAGTTTATGCACAGCTTATAGCACACAGTGTTCTCACCATGCAGGCTCATGGGGGCCCCCATATTCCTCACAGCTGTTGCTCGCCGTAGTGTGAGGAACTACTCGTGCTGTCAGCTGGGGAGTTTTCTTGGGACTGGATCGTGCGTGTGTGTTGCGGTAGGTGTGCCCTGGTACCCCTCCTGCGTCGTCTTCTCCACGTTTCCTTGCCATCCCCTCGCCCCCTCGACCACGCGGAGGCGAGCGGCGCGGGGCTACCAATCCCGTTGCTGTATCGTTTCGTGCTCCCCCCCTCTTGCACGCGTGCTTGCGCTTGGCGTGCGGAGTGTTTGCTTTCCTTCCCCCGCCCAGCCCGCCCGCACCCACCTCCGCCTGCCCTTGCCGCTGCCTCTGCTCATCGTGCTCATCCGACCGCGCTCCCGCTGCCGCGCCGGTCCTCCTCCTTCTCGTGCTGCAGGGCCTCGCACTTCGAGCGGCCGACTGCGAAACCTCGGCTGGGCGCCAGGCGTCCACAGAGTGGGCAGCCCTGTCGCAGAGCGTCGCCCCATGCAAAACCACAGGCGACGTCGCGCCAGCTGGCAGAGTAATCGGAGAAATCGCCCTCAGAACATCGTTTCCCCCCTTGTGCCGCCCCCCCTCCCCCCTCTCTCACTTCAGCCCATCCTCCCTTCCCCTTCCCTCCCCCCATCCTCCCATTCTCATCCCCCCTTTCCCTGCTTCCTCCTCCCCTGGTGACCTGTGCTTGCAAACCAGGTGGCGCTGTCTGACTGCAGAGCTCCGCCCCATAGCCTCTTCGCATCCAGTCGACCTCCCTCCCCACTCCCCAACTCTCCCCCCGCTGCTGCCCCTCCGACGTCTGCGAGAAGGTGCACGCGTCGCGGCGAAATCCGATACCTACCCTCGCGGATCCAACAATTCGGGCAGTTCGACGGGTGGCGGGGGTAGGGTTCGGAACCCGTTGAATACGTGGCGAGGTCTGAACTTTCCTTCAACCTCCCATCGATTCAAGGGGTGCTCGATGTCTCAGCCACGTGCACGTTCGGGGCACGTGAGAGTACTGTGCAGCACTCTCGGGCAAGCGTGGGCCCCTGGAGGCTTTCACAGGTCCCGTCTACATGGTCGAGTTAGGGCCCGAGGACACCTGAGCGACGCAACCAACGTTCGCGCGTAAGCTGCCCGCGTGCGGTCGCGCGCGAGCGCCCTCGTCCCCAGTGTGGCGCGCTGCGCTGGCGGCCTGCGCACGCCGCGGCGCAAGGTCGCTATGCCATCTTGCACACGACACGGTTTTGCTTCGCCGCCCACTCGGCTATCCCGTTTTGTCCTGCTCATCCCCTCGCGGCGTGGCTCCCCAGAGGCCTGGACCCCCAGTCCGCCAGCAGGGGTGCGGAGAGAGATCGTCGCGCCCCGCGCCGGCGCGGCCTCTGTGTCCCGAGGGCTGCCCCTCTCGGGCCAGGGCGGCGCCACGGCGCGAAGACGTCCGTGCATCGGGGAGCGGCGACGCGCGAATTTGAGTGGCCTGGGAATCATGGGAAGAAAAGGTACCCATACCGCTACCCTTCCCTGGCTTGAGGCGCTCTCGGGCCTCCTGCGAGGCCTTCGTCGCCACCGCTGGATTCGCCTCGGAATCCCTGTCAGAACGCACCCCGGGAGAGGTCCACGGAGTAACGGTATCGATCCTTTTTGGCATCCCCAGAACGCCTTTCCCAAAGACTGGGGTTGTTTCATGAGTCGTTTCGCGACAGCCCTGGGGCCCAGTCCAGGGCAACGGTAAGGGGGGGATGCGTGGGCCTCCAGATCGCCCATGGATCGCCGAGAGGGGCCTCGTAGCCCAACCCGCCCAGGAACGTGCGGATTCGTCGGGGGCCCATCGCCGACCTATCGGCGATGGGTCGCCGATGCCAGCTGGATGTTTGCCCGAACGTCCCCCCTCGCCCAGGCGAAGGCCTCCCGTGTGGGCCGCAGGCGTGGCCCCAGGAGAGGAACATCGACCCAGACATGAGGAACAGCATCTTTCCATGAAGATCGGCGAGAATGTTGGACATGCAGGGGAAGACGGAACTCAAGAACAGATGGAAAACTATGTGAGTTCTTGGAATTCGTATATAGTATATATGCGTCTCCCTGGGCTCCTTTACTGACCCCCTCGCCCCGCGCCAAGGGGCGTCGCTTCGGGCCACGCGACGGGCGCGGGCAGGGCAGAGCGCGCCGCGCGCGCGGGGCGGGGAGCTGGGGAGGATCTGGCAGGGAGCGGCCCCGAAGCCCTGACCGTTGGTTGCCCTGACCTGTGCCCCCAGCGCATGGAGCGTGCTGTCTCAAGGGGGGCCCGGTGCGGCGGCCTTCCTCGGGGCCGCCCCGTCGCCGGCCGACAGGGCCTCGCCCGCGCGGCGCTGGCCTCGGCGCCACGCGGCGCGGCCGAGGAGGAGGCGGGCAGGACGCCGCCGCCGCCGCTCTCGCCGTCGTCGCTGGAGTGGGGGCGAGGGAGGGAGGAGCGAGGGAGGGAGGGATAGGGAGGGGGCGGCCATTATTCCTCCTCTTTGTTTCCCTCCTCTTTCTCTCCACTGGTCTTCCCCATCCTCCTCGTGCTGCACGCTGCATTTCGAGCCTCGGGCCGACCAGACTGATTAGCCACAATGGGCCCGCAGATCGTGTCCTCCCCTCCGGAAGACGGGGGGGAGTGTCGTCCGCTCCCCGTTGATTCTTCGCTCCTGTCCTTCTAACGCGTCGTCTGTCAGCTGAGCGACGTAAAACAATGGGGTCGTTTTCACCGATCTTGGCGCGTAAGTTGTCCGCGTAAGGTCGCGCAGAAGCGCCCTCGTTTTCAATGTGGCGTGCGGCGCTGGTGGCCTGCCTGAACCGACGCATAATGTCGCTATGCCATCTCGCGTAAGCCCTGTTTTCTTTCGTCGCTCAGTTGTTGCTGCACCAGTTCACAGGTCCTACGGAGAGCGCCATCTTGGCTGCGTGCCAGACAGAGGATTGTTTTTTTCTTTTTCCGAGCAGGGCGGCATTGCCGACAGCAGGTGCCGCCCACCGAAATGGCAGCCATCGCCACTCAGAGAGATCAAAGCAGTACAGCTCCGCAGCAGAGCAATGCAGCACCAATCACGGATGCGACGCCAGAGCTCCAGGAATTCGATTTGTTCCGATCCCCGTCCTGCTCCTTCTCATCTCTTTCCGCATCCCCCTCCTCATGGCCTTGCCCCCTAGTTGAGCGCAGCCCTACCGCAGCAGGGCCAGGAACCTGCGTTTTATTCTGGGCCGATGACGGCCGTAATCTGGGGGGGGGAGGGGGCCGATGACGTCACGTTTCGCGCCGGCGCCGTCTGGGAATGCCTAGGAATGGCCGAGGACGGGTAGCAGTAGCATGTAAGTGGCGATTTGCAGCACAACGCCTGTGTACAACACAGTGTCTGCGTGCACCACAGCGCCTGTGTACACCACCGCTTATGTACACCACAGCTGCCGCGTGCAACGCACCGCCAGTGTGTGCCACAGTGCCTGCGTGCACCATAGCGCTTGTGTGCACCACAGCGCCTGCGTACACCATATCAGCCGTGCGCAACACAGCACCAACGGACACCACAGTGCCCGCGTGCACCACAGCGCCTGTGTACACCACGGCGCCTGTGTGCACCACAGCAGCCGTGCGCAACAGCGCACCATTGTTTTGTATAGATGTTTGACGGAATCTTTATGACAAAATGGAGCGCCTGTGGATTCCATCGAAAACAGTTGTCGGATATGGGATTTGGAAAGGAATTCTTATGGAAAAAGGAGCCTTGCTGGAATCTACGAGTCCTCCCGAGTCCTCCCGCATCATCCTAACTCCTCCCATCTAAGACCACAGGGCTCCCGCAGAATATGCCGTCGGAAAATCCTTAGGCATTCCCGGACGCCGCCGGCGCCGAACGTGGCGTCATTTGGGGGGGGGGGGGGGCTTGGGCCGATAAAAAACATGTTCCAGACTGGGGCTCATTCGCTCCCTCCTCATGGTCATCATTCCCATTTTATTACGTTGGACAAACTTAGGCTGTTTAGCTGGAGCGTTCGTGCGTGAAGAGAAGCAACATTGGCCGACCCGACCTAGGACAAGCGAACAACATTTCCGCGTCGGACAGCAGCAGATACAGTAATGCAGAGAAAAGTGAAAATCATGTGTCCCAGCAGGGCATCTATAGTAACCTATCCCGCGGCAGTGCAAAGTAGGGAGGAGGGCACAACTATACAACATACAACACAATCATGAGGAATACAGTGGGGACGCGCATCACGAAACCATATGCAGTCGGGGTACTGTGGGTTTCTTCGCTCCGCGCGCTGCGCGGTGACTTCACGCGGCCGTCGAAGAATATGCTACGTTCAGGGTGCCTTGGGCTTCTCCCCAGTCGCACCTCTCTCGCGGGTCTTCAGGACTGGGTTTCCTGCGGGGTTCTTTTGGGGCCGCGTCCGCACTGTACACCCTTCCCCCCCCCCCCCCTCCTTTCCAGCCTGCTCCTCCATCTTCCTCCCCCTGCTCTCCTGGCCCCACCCCTGCAGGACACTGCTGCCGCCCTCCAGCGGCGGCGTCGACACGAAGGAGAGTTTCCTGCTTCCTCCTAGATATCGCTCCCGAGCCTGGGCGGGGGGTGGACGGCTCTGCTACAGTCGCCAGCCCAGCCCGACGCCGGCTCCTGCACCTCCCACGTCCCTCCCTCTCGCCCTCTTCTCCCTCGGCCCCGTCACCCTCCCCAGACCCCCTCGAATCACGAAAAAGTCACGGCGGCGGGATTTCGCTGTTTTCGATATCCGTGAGCCTTTACCAGGCCTCGGGACCGGCAAAAAACGATTCAGATTGAGAATCGGGTCCCGGGGATTGGGTCGAGACCTCTGGGGCTCAAGGTTATGAAAAAAACATGACGTCGGGGGTATGGGTCTCGAGAGTGCAAAAGCCACATATCCATACCTAAACGACCACCCTTCGGGTGATAAGGAGGTTCGGGGGGGGGAGGAACCAACGTCTCACTCGATCGGTCTCACTATCGATCTCACTATCGATCTCACTATCGGTCTCGCTCGATCGATCTCACTCGATCTATCTCACAATCGATCTCACTCGATCTATTTCATTCGATCGATATGACTATCGATCTCGCAATCGATCTCACTATCGGTATCACCATCGGTATCACAATCGATCTCACATTCAACGTCATCATCAACATCATCATCGTCATCAACGTCATCAATCCGTAGCCATTTGGGCTCAAGAGCCAGCCGCGGCCCGCGCGTCCGTGCCCCATGGTGTCTGCTGGCCGTGCCCCTCGGCGCACGGCGTCTGTGTCCCAGTGGGCGTGATGTACGTGCTCCTCGGTGCTACGTGATTGATGCCGACTTCCGTTACCCCCCTGGCGCCAGGGGGTGCTAAGGCTGCTGATCGGAGAGCGGTTATTTTTCTCTTGGTGCTCTGCGATGCCTTGGGAAAACTGCTAAGGTTGGTATGCATAATTCAGTACACTTCGCCCAGGCTGCACTCAGTCTTGTTGCTCTTGGACATGAATTGGACCACGGTCTGGTCGCGCCTTCGATTGACTTCCCCATGCAACGTCGTATGCACGACATCGCGCAGTCTTCGAGTTTGCAGCGCTCTCTGGAGCTTGCGCATGGTATCCCTCATTGTAGGTCGCTGCACGGTATGCTGGACATGGCGCAGGAGCGTGGTGTTTTCTCTCACGCGGCTTGGGCTCGGATGGGCATGATGCGGATGCGAGGTAGCAGTGCGCGGCATCGGCGCTGGAAGATTCCCCCTAGCACAGCTGTGGTGATTCGGATTTTTGACCATATTGATCCTGCCGATGTTGTTGGTGGAAAGTTGAATCCTCATGCTGCCGAGTTTGTGCCGGCTGCTCCAGTTCCTTTTCGTCTCCCTCCCCGTGCAGGTGATGCGGCGGACATACTCCTTAGAGAATTGTGCGGTGGACCGCTGGAGGCTGGGGTGGTGGGTGACGATGGTTCTGAGGAAGATGAGGATTCGGACCGCCCGCGTGATGACCCACAGGAGGATATCATCGATTCGATGCACTATGAATTTGGAGACGAACCCTACGAAGCCACCAGCGACCCCGCGAACGACGCAATCGACATGGTGCACTACGATTGCGGCGATGAGCCTTTTGAGACGGACGATGGTTGGGACGCGCTTGAAGGCACATTGCTACCATCTGATGCCGACTACGACGCGGTGCTTTTTGGCGGCTCTGATCGGGAAGATGGAGGCCCCGAGGTCCCGAGGCAAGATGGAGAGGCTGATGGGGGACTTCGAAAACCCATTCGCGATAGTGTTCCTGGTGCTGTTTTGCGTTCTGGGTGGGAAGACAGCGATCCTGCTCTTGCAGGAAGAACGGCGATTATGGATTATATTATTCGCGCCTCCTTTTCTGACACTGTCTATGTTGGCGCGGGCGGTCCAGATGAGACACATCTCTTTGCTGATTTCGTCACTGGCACGGCTGAGGCTCTTCTCAACGATGCAGTTGCTCCTGGGAGTGGGAGTGGGGAAGATGGAGGCCCCGAGGTTCTGAGGCATTCCGCTGAAGCCGATGAGGGACTTCGAAAATCCATTCGCGCCGATGCTCAAGATGATATTGGTGCTCTCTCTGACGACGTTGTGGCCCCTCTGTGTCAGTATGGGGAAAGTGGAGGCCCCGAGGTCCTGAGGCACGGAGCCGCCGATGATGGACTTCGAAAACCCATTCGTGGTGCTGTTCCTGGCGGTCCTCGGTATAGTGCATATGCAATATCTGATTCTGCACTCGTCGGGGAGTACATGTCGGATATGACCTCCTTGGTTGCTCTTGTTACTGGCTTGGTCGAGTCCGCGTCTGCCGATACTGCGGTCTCTGTGGGCTTGACATGCGAAGATGGGGGCCCCGAAGTCTGCGTGGCACCAATCCGCGCCCCTCTCTCTGACGACGCTGTGGCTCCGCTGTGTCAGCACGGGGAAGATGGAGGCCCCGAGGTCCTGAGGCACGGAGCCGCCGATGATGGACTTCGAAAACCCATGTGTGCGAGTGCGTCTGCTCCAGACCCTCTTCGTGTGGACAGTGACTCCGAGACTGCGATTGCGGATGACGACGACATTGCTGAATTCGTGCGTTCTTGGATTGCTGCGCGGGACCCGAGCTGCCTCTCGCTCCGACTCGCCCTGCAGGCAGCTACTCGCTGGTTCGGCCCACTCGGCCGTGCCTGCAAAGATCGGATTCGCACTGTGGCTCTCGACGTCATGGTTGAGATGCTCCCAGTGGACTCGCCGAGCCCAGCGGCGGAGCCAGGCCCTGCGAAGAGGCGGCGCGGAGCGGCGGGGGCCCGCCCCAAAGGCTGGAGGGGAACAAAAAACAAAAAAACAAAAAAAACGTCATCAACGTCATCAACATCATCATCATAACCTCATCCCCATCATCATCACCATCATCATCATCATCAGCGGGACACCATCATCGTCACCATCATCATCATCATCATCACACACATCATCATCATCACCATCATCATCTTCATCTTCATCATCAGCATCGGGAAACCATCATCACCACCAGCATCACCGTTACACCAACATCAGCATCATCAGCATCACCATCATCATCTCACCATCTTGAACAACATCAACAATATCATCATCACCGGGACACCACCATCATCAGCATTATCATCATCAACATCATCATCATCGGGACACCACCATCATCAACATCAGCATCATCACCATCTTCGGGCCACCATCATCAAAATCAATCATCACCTCATCGTCATCATCATCATCGGGACGCCACCATCATCATCATCATCAACATAATCATCATCATTGGGACACCAGCTTCATCATCACCATCATCATCAACAGCATCATCTTCATCAACCTCATCATTGTCAGCATCATCATCATCGGGACACCATCATCATTCTATCATTGTCCCATCTTCAGCATCATCATGATCATCAACACCATCATCATCATCATCATCAACATCGGGACACCATCATCATCATCAGCAACATCATCATCAACATCGTCATCATCCTGACACCATCATCATTATCACCACCATCACCAGGATCATCAGCAACATCGTCAGTATCATCATCATCTTTATCACCGTCGGGACACCATCATCATCACCACTATCAGCATCATCAACATCATCGACATCATCATCACCACCACCATCATCATCATCATCATCGTCATCATCATCATCACCGGGACACCGACGGGACACCCGCGGGACACCGGCGGGACACCGCGCGCCACCGGCCCGGGGAGATGAAACATTTGGTCCGGCCACGCCTGAGCCGGAGGCGAGTCATCGGCGGGACACCGCGCGCCACTGGCCCCCGGAGAGGAAACATTTGGTCCAGCCGCGCCTCAGCCGGAGGCGGGACGCCGGCGGGACACCGAGCGCCACCGGTCCCCGGAGAGGAAACATTTGGTCCGGCCGCGCCTCAGCCGGAGGAGACTTTCTTCTCGCCCGCCCACGCAGCTTCGCCTCGCCCGCACGCACGGCACGCACGAACACGAAACCGAAACTGATTTCCCGGTAGTGGGGCTCTCCGTTCCACTTCGACCTCACCCCCTCACCTCCGACACTTTCGGAGGTCCACGTAGGTTTCTCGGATCGGCGGTGGGCTCCCCCACGCTCCCTTCTGCGCGCGAAGCGCGCGCAAGGGGCGTCGCCAGGGGTCGCCGCCAAGAGGGTCCAGAGTAGATCCAAGAACTCCGCGCGGACCTCTGAAAGCACTTGTTTATGTTTGTGCGTTTTTTCGTTCCTCTACCCTCGGCGCCCTACTTCTCCTCGTCGTCCTCCTCCTCGTCCTCCTCCTCCCTCACACTGATATGAAGCAATCCCACAGTGGCCGCCACATCGCCATGGCTCAGGGACATCCCTGTCCCGGGTGTAGCTGATGATGTGCATCCCGGATCTCGTTTTTAGATTCAGCTTCCCTCTCGGCTAGCGCCTGCTTTGGCAAACAGAGTCGTCTGAATTGAGACACGCGCATGCGTTCTTCCATCTTGCAACGCTCAACAGGCGCGCGCGAGGGTCGGGGGGCGGGCCCGCCCCTGCCAACAGGGTCACCACCCCTCTGCGCCCCTTCTCCACAGAGGGGGCCGCCAGGGGGGGGGGGCATTCTGACTGGGGGGGAGCTTGCCTCCCCCCCCCCCCCCGGGGACCTCGCCACGTCGCGGGACCCCCCCCTCCCGGCGGGGATGGGAGCAAAGGGAAAGGGTCTCTGCTCGATTCAAGAAGCATGGTGTTGCTGTTTCACGTCGCTTTGCCTGCGCGCTTGAGGGGGCCACGGGGAAAAAGGGAGTGGCGACCGCGAGGATGACGAACGAGAGAGCGTCTTCCACACGACGACCGGGTTTGCGGATTCCCAGCCCTCCTATGTGTTGGATTTTCGTTTTGCATAGAGCATTGCGCGCGCGTATTCCTCATGCCCTCTCTGGCCTCCTCTCCCTGCGTCCTGTGCGCTCCCTCCGGAGGCTGCAAACTGCGCAACTGTTGCCATGGACTCCAAGCAGGCGCGGCGTAGTGCAGGGCAGCGCAGATCACTTCGAGACCTCGCGGTTCCGTCGGGGGCTGCGAATGGCGCAATTGTCGCCACGTTCGTGGGTTCCTGGGAAGCATAGCAAGGTAAGGGCAGCGCAGAGCCATTTGAGACCTCGCGGCTCCCTCGGGGCCTGCGGATGGCGCAATCGTCGTCATTTTCGTGGGTTCCTGGGAGGCACAGCAGAGGTGAGGGCAGCGCAGATCCATTTAAGACCTCTCGCGGTTCCGTCGGGAGCTGCGAATTGTCACGATTTTCTTTGGCTCCAGGCAGGCACGGCGGAGTGCAGGGCAGCGCAGATCCATTCAAACTGCGAACTGCGCAATTGTCGCTGCTGTCGTGGGCTCTTGGGAGGCACGGCGGAGTGCAGGGTAGCGCAGATCGTGCATATCTCGCAACGTGTTTTTCATGTATGGCACGTTCACACACACAGCCGCCCGCGTGGACAAGGGGTTGGGTAAGTTTCGGGCAACTTTGAAGATTCTTCGGACGGGAGCGGATCCCGGGTCTCTAAATGCGCATTTTCCCGCAATGGAAATAGATAATTGCAGTATTTTGCATCATGGTTGTTCGCGGTTCATTTGTTGCGGTTGCGTCGCCGTCGGTCGGAATCGATCGGTTCGACGATTCGGTTTTTGCGCGGCTTTTGTGTCGTCGCGTCTTCTCGCTTGCTTCGGTTGATTCGGTTTCGCCGCGGGCGCCTCGCATGCGCCTCGTGCGTTGGGCGGAGGCGACGGGGTGAGCGGCCATTTGCGCCTCGCGGGCGGCCGCGGGCGCGTGGCGGGCGCTCCATGCGCGGTGGTTGGTCGTCGGTCTGCGTCGCGCGTCTTACGTCACTCACGCCACGAACGCAAACTTCATCACAGATTTTTATGTTCGCAGTTTGCACCGCGTATCTCGCGCCATTCGCCCTGTCCCAGATAGCATGCACCACGGAGCAGTCAACGCAAACCAGCGCGCCACTCACACGAATTGACTTACACCTGTTAAGCGCCCCCCAGAACTCTGAGCCTGATGCGCCCGCTGGTTGTTCCCGCTTTGCTTTGTGCGCAAGAGGTTCAGGGGGAGCAGGGAACAAGTTCTCATACCTGGGAACAAATCCTTGGTTTTCGCAGCCAAGAAACATATGTCAGAGTTTCCTGGGTTTCGGCGGTTGGAGTCCGCTCTGTACTCGCTTCGGGCAACAGTGTTTCGAGGGGTCTGGCATCAATTTCTCTAGTCTCGCACCTTGTTTTTTGCTGGACCCCAGGGCAGGATCGCCTGGGCGCTCAAGACTATATTTCGAGGCCGCCCCAAGGAAAACTCGGTGGTACATAGTATGTTTGGTTGGGGTGCGTCGGGGCGGCGTTTCTCAGGCTTTGCGTTGGGTCGCGGCGGGGGTGGGAAGGAAGCTGAGCAGAGGAGGCTTGAACGAATCTTCGTTGATTGAACTACGATTCTTGTCCGCGCGGGCACGGTTCGATCGATTTCGACGGTTCGCGCCCGATCTGCGATTCGCGTTGAATGTTCCATTGCCGCCCAGGTCATTCTTCTTCAGGGGTCAATGTGAGGATCCAGCGCTGCCCTTCCCCGAGCTGCCCCCCCCCGTGTTCGTTCCCCCATGCCCCCCCCCATGGGCGCATGGTATATGAGACATCCGGATACTATCCCGACTGTTGTGCTTTTACGTTTTGGTCCGTGGTGTCTCGGTAGGTTGAGCTTGCGCCTCGCGCGCGTGGCCCCTCATCGGCGGAATGGCGCGGCCGCTCTGGCGACGGGCGCGGGGTTCTATACCTACCCACAGCCATATACATATGCATTCATACATTCGTGCATTCATGCGTACACACATAGTCACATGCATACATTCATTCATTCATGCATGCATGCATGCATGCATGCATGCATACATATGAACAGTTTTCGTGTTGTACGCGCTGGCACTGTCCCGAGCCTGGTTGCTGTTCGTGTCGATGCCCCCCTGAACGCATCCTTCGCGGGGAGGGAAGCAGAAGGGCGGGCAGGGAATGAAGAGCGGAGGAAGAGAGAGAGAGAGAGGGAGAGAGCGAGACTTGACGGGGAATAGAGGAAGGAGAGAGGAGGAGGAGGAGGAGGAGGAGGAGGAGGAGGAGGAGGAGGAGGACTAGGAGGACAAGGAGGACGAGGGAGGGAGCTATGGAGGGAGGGGGGAGGAGGAGGAGGGACGGGAGGACCGAGAGACGAAGGGAGGGTGGACGGGACAAGGGGCAGAGAGAGGAGGGAAGGAGGAAACGGGGGGGCTGGGGGGAGGGAGGCAGGCAGGGAGGCAGGGAGAAGACATCCGAACTGAAAGCGACGTGTCATGTGCGGCGTCGCGTGGTCTCCGAGAGCTTACGCGGGATGTGCGAGAGAAGGTGCAGCATGCAGCAGCATGAGAAACGGGCAAAGGAACATGAGGCGGAGAAAGGATGACGTCGAGCAGGATAAGCAGCGCAGAGTACACAGGAATTGGAGCAGGAGGCGGATTATAACCTCCTGCTCCCCCTCGCCCTCCTCCCCCCATCCCATCCCTTCAATGAAGCCTGCAGGGTGTTGCTGGAATGTCAAACATATATCCAACGACCTCATGTTGTTATTGGCCAGTGCCGCACGCCGCCGACAATTGTGTGAAGCCTCGGAACGCACCCCGATAACCTGGCATCCCGATGGCCTCCCGAAAGCCTCTCGGGAAACCGCCTGGCGCTGCTTCGAACCAACTCGAGGCGGCGCCGTCCGTCTCCCCGAGCCATATCGGGCGCCCCGCCCTGCCGAGGAGTTCCTCCCTCCTCCCTCCTCCTCCCTTTGTCTGTATTCGCTCTCCCTGCCCTCCCCCCTGCCCCCCTTCTCGCGACCCCATCCTCTCAATCCCATGCCCCCCCTTCGCCGGATAAAGAGAACACGGCGCAATGGGAAGGGATGGGTGGGAGAGGTCGGATTTTAGATATGGTGCGAGCGCGCCGATGTGGCCCTCCCCGTTCGCCTTCCTCCCCCCTTTCTCTTCCTCGTCGCCGCCGCCGCCGCCCCGTGCTACTCCATGGTGCCAGGGCCGCCGTGCCCTCATCGACCATTTAGGGAACTGGCGTTGGGTGTGCGGCCCTTCGATTGCAGGAGGGCGAAGGGGAGGTTCCAGGGAGAGAAGGCGGAGGAGGAGACTGGGCCGCCAGCCTTGCGGGCGCGCAAGCACGCGCGCGCGGCGGGCTTCCTCGTTCCTCGTCCACCGCCGTCTCCCCCCCCCCTCCTCGTGGTTTGATTTCCCCCGCCGTCGCCGAGGAGCTCCGCGAAGTGGAGTCCCGCCTTCAGCGACACATCGGCGCTACGCAGGAGGCGCAGGACACCGTTCGCGTTGGCTGGCCCCTGCCCCTGCCTCGCGCGGGTCGAATCGCACGCGCCTCGGGCGAGTTACCGCCCTCCTGCCTTTGGGAGGCGCCTGCTCAATGACATGTAAACCAGAATTCCAGCCATTCCAGCGTCGGAAAACCACCACTGACACACACACACACACCGAAATTTGCGGAGCTCCATGCGGATTTCTTAGCGCTGGAACCCCACGTCGGCGCCGCTCATGGCTGGCGCGCTCTGCGCGCTAGTGTGTGTGTGTGTGTGCGTGTGTGTATACGTGTTTGTGCGTGCGTGCGCGCGTGTGTGTGTGAGTGAGTGTGTGTGTGTGTAAGTGTGTAAGGGTTCAACTGTGTAACTGTGTATCTGCGTAACTGTGTATGTGTGTAACCGTGTGTAACCGTGTGTAACCGTGTGTAACCGTGTATCTGCGTAAGTGTGTAAGTGTGTAAGTGTGTAAGTGTGTAAGTGTGTGCGTGCGGGTGTGCGTGTGCGTGTGCGTGTGCGTGTGCGTGTGCGTGTGCGTGTGCGTGTGCGTGCGTTCGTGGGTGTGTGCATGTGTGTCTCCAGCGCGGATCCAAAAAATCCGCGCGGAGCTCCGACATAATATTGAAATGGTTTACTCCGCCGACCCCCGCAAGTAGTGAGTGTTTGAGACGATCGTGGAAGGTATAGCTTGGATCAGGAGCGTCCTAGTTGATTTAGTCACCCTCCCGTGTGCTTATGCCATGCACAGCAACATTTCCGCCGCTGTGAGATGGTTTCCACAGTAAGCCCCACAAACGCCATGCCCCGCCGCGCGTGCGTGCCTGGCTGGCCGGGTCTTGTCTGCTTGTCGCAGTCACAAGTTTAGCGGGCATTGTCTCCTTTTCTTGCCATGGCAACAACAAGGAGTACAGCCCAATCCACAAGATGAGCCTGAGCAAAATATTGTTACAGGAAGAAGCTCAGAGCAACCACAAAAATAACATGAACACAGTTTGCCGATCAACTGGGCCACGAAATCTCCCACATGAGCAGATAGTGTGGCAAACTACGGGTTATCAGCCGAAGGTTCTATCATCGATGAAAGTGGTACCACCAAAGGAGGAAACTATGGTTCAACCATATACGGATGATGTACGGCCGACAGAAGGATCACGCCACAGCTTGAGTGCGAATGTTCCTGGTGCAGATTTAGCCGACTACGCCGGGGAACCGAGCCAACGCCTTCCCCCAAGATCAGCTGGAACATCTCCTTTGACGATGAGCCTCGCCCCGCTACTCCAAAAATCAACGGCGTCGCGCGCCCCGACCGGCGCGAAGAAGATGAAGAAGATCCCATGCCAATCGGTGACCAACTTAATGTCCCCATCAAGCAGGCCGAGACGGATCGCGTCGTCACGAATGAGATGCGTGCTCGTTCCGCAGCTCAGATGCTACGCGCCCGCGAGGAGGTGCGACGAATCGAAGTGATGATGAAGAGAAAGTCGCAGCGATTGCTCGTGCAGCGGAACAAAAGGCCGTCCGAATGGTGAAGAGCCGAGAAGCTGAACGGGGCAATTTGCATCGTGAGTTCAGTGAGCATCAGATGCAACGTCACCACGGGCAGGGGCTGAGACCGAAAATGGGGCTCTGACGGGGCGACGCGGGCATTGCGGGGAAGTCGGGGAAGTGCGCGGGCAGTGCGAGAGGCAAGCCATTCGGGAAGCGATGCGTCGACCCGAATCAGAAACCAGGCGTTGTTCTTGCCCTCTCCCTCACCTGCACTATTCCTCTTCCCTGTCCCCTCCTCCTTCTTCCGCTGTGTGGCCATTGGCGCGGAACGGCCATGTCCTTGGGGCGGGCTCTCCATGTTCGCCAGTTCCGCTGCGTCTTCTTTCGGGGGCAGCCCAGGGACTGCGCTGCTCGGGCTTCGCAGAGGGGAATCATTGCAAGGCTGACTTGTAAAACCGCGATTCGCAAAAGAGCTTGTCACGGTTTCGGTGCGCTGCCGTTGGTTCCGTTTGTGTTGCCCCTTTCTATCCTTCTCTTCCTCCTCCTCCTCCTCCTCCTCCTCCGCCTCGTCTTCTGTTCCACGAGAGCCTGCGCAACATTCGGGTGTGCAGCCGATCGGCCACGCGGCTGGGACAACATATGCTTGCTTTGAGGGGCCGAGTTTCGTGACATTGCCTCTTCTCTTCTTCCTCCCCCTCCGTATCTTCGCACTGCGACCCCTCAGGCCGAGGGTGGACGCATTGCGGATTTTGGCACGTCATCTTTCTCCCTCATCTTCCCTCCGCCGCTCGCTTGTGTTTTTAAGGCACAAGTTTGCGTGGCAGCGCCCTTTCTCCGTTGGCGTTACCCCCCGCCTGGTGCCCCGCCACTCTCACTGTGAACCTCTGCCGCCTCTGCCGAGAGGCCGTCGGACTCGACCTTGCCTCCCCGCAACAAGGATGAGCACGCCGCCATGTGGTGTCGCATTCCCGCGTCTGTCACAGCACTGAGCCCTGCGTTGCGCGGGGTGACGGTCGCAACGCCGCTGATATCGAATGTGTGTGTGTGTGTGCGGGCGCTGTAAGCGAGTTGCGTTTCGGGGGAGTTTTTATTTTCGGAGTTCGTCGGCGGTTGTCCTTGTCCCTGCCAAGAAAAACCAGCATGGCCGCAAACAGTGCGAGGTTGTTTGCGTATCAGGCGCATGTTTCTATGTAAGCGCTGAGACCTCGTCTTTTATTGTGCTCTCCCATTTGGAGTGGCGTGTCCACCACTCTTGCGTGCAGCTGTCGCATGAGTGGCTTTGGTCGACTGACAGTTCCTTTCCGATCGGCTCGCCATCGTTAGCGTCAGTTCCATAGTCATCATCATCACCCCCTTCCCCCCGTCCCCCCTCTTCTATTTTCAGATCAGGTGCGTTCAGCAAGTTTCGCAGACGGGCCACGCGCCCAAAGGCTCGGGGGAATGTGTCGGGGCGCCCAGGGATAGGAGGAAGGGGTTTGGGGACGCCCCCAAAGATCGTCGAGAGATGGGGCTTCGAGGTTTCTTGGGCCGCCCAGCGGCCATCTTGGGCTGTCTTGGAGCCCATATCGGGCAGTGTTGGAAGCATCGTGGGCTATCTTGGCGCCGGGGCCCGCCGGATTTTTCTACGCACGCCGGCGCCTGTTTCGACGCAAGCCAGCGACAACGGCGTTCTCCTCCCTCCCTTCTCCTCCCTCCTCCCCCCTCCTCCGTCCCTCCTCCGTCCCTCCTCCCTCCCTCCTCCTCCCTCCCTCCCCTCCATCCTCCTCCCTCCTCCCTCCCTCCTCCCTCCTCCTCCTCTCCCTCTCTCCTCCCTCCTTCCTCCTCCCTCCTCCTCCTCCTCCTCCTCCTCCTCCTCCTTCCTCCCTCCTCCTCCTCCTCCTCCTCCTCCTCCTCCTCTGCCTCCTCCTCCTCCTCCTCCTCCTCTTCCTCCTCTTTCTTCTCCTCCGCCTCCTCCTTCCTCCCTCAGTCCCTCCCTCCCTTCCTCCATCCTGGCGTCGGGGCCCGTCGATTTTCTATGCATTTTGGCGACGCGCGGGAAATTTTCGACGCACGCCAGCGCCGTCGAAAAACTGCCCCGGGCCCGTCGGATTTTTTTTCTGGCCTCATTTGGGGGCTCCGTGGGATTTTTTCTGGCCTGATTTGGGGTCGCCGTCGTCTTTGAATGCCCCATTGCGCCGACAGCATGTCGAAAAGCGTGGTTGTTTTTCTTTCCGCTTGTGTTCCCCTGTGAAAACACAAAGGACTCTTTCGACACAAGTTTTTCGACATCGTTTTTCGACGTCAGTTCTGCGACCCTTCTGGGGGGCCCTTCTTGGAGCCCTCTCGGGGTTGTCTTTGCGCTGCCCGGCCCTACGGACGCCCCACGGAACCCCGCGGCACCCCTCGCCCCTGTCGAGGAGGCGGGGTGTAGATGGCGGGGAACGGTCCTGGTGGCCTCCTGGGAGATTCTAGAAAAGGCGAGGCGCTTGGAGGGCTATGACCCCACGCGGACCGACAACAGCGCGCAGTTCCGCGAGGCCCGTCGGCGACTCTGCATTCTTACAAAAAGAGCAGACCCAGGAAGTTCGTGACAACAGGAGACTGCTCATCGAGCGCCTTCGAGCTAGTGCCAAAAACAATGGAGTACCTTGGGTTGGCGAGATGCACTGGGAGACAGCGCAGGAGACACACCACGTTCCATAGACAGTACCATGCACCCCCCGATGTGCACAATCTAGACCGATGTGGCAGATTGCTGAAGATCGAGAAGAATAATATCATCCCAGCAAAGGTGGAGGCGGACGACTGGTGGGTGCACTGTTCGATCGGTGATTTCATAACCCGGAGTTGCAGCGCCCACGGGCTACTGAAGGAGAGGATGACGATCTTGGCCGAGGAGCTGAGGCGCCCGGCGCAGATGCCGGTTACGCCCCAGACGAGGGTGAGTGGCTTCAGCCCACCATCGGCAAGGAGTTCCATCAGCGCGTTGTCGATTTCGTCCGAAACGACGAGGAGGGCAGCCACGCAATGACAATGGCTCGTCGTGCCATCATACTGGCCGGGAGGAAGCGTCAGCGCTCAAGCTGGGGAATTCTGGGTGGGGTGGAAGGGCGGCGTTTCATTGGCCGCCGCCGATGTTTGACGCGAAGCCATTTATTTGGAGAACGTGCCGTGGAGGTGAAAGGGGACTCTGTCTCGAGCGGAGCAGGTCAGCATTTGTCTTCGGGTCGGGTGCTACTGCGCGTCGCATTCAGAGGTGCATGAGGGGTCGAAGTCACAGCCGTCGACGCTGAAACCGGTGGCATTATGCGACTCTTGTGACCAACTCGATACCGCTCCGCGCATTGACTTTTGCACTCCTCACCAGCGTGCGTAATCGCGTTGGGCTCACGCACGCAGGCGCGATGCTCCCGCCGAGGTCTTAGCGCGCGAGAGGATGCTCTTCGAGTGGCGGTGCCAGGGCGAGATCAATGGGGGCGCGGCCGAGATGAGCGAGGAGATCGACAGCCCGGCGGCAACGCCAGTCGACTCGGAGCCCC